ATAATACTACTATGACGAAAAACAAGTCAAAATGATAATGAGATATTGCTTCACATCAATGGTCGTGGCCTCCATTAAAAGGATTGAAGATAGCAAACTCTGGTGGGAATGCAGAGGGAAAAAGACATGCTATTCTGATGTATTATTCGTAGGTATGAAAAGTCCCAACCTCTATGCAAAGCAGTATAGACTCTCAAAATATAAAAAATTAGATTTATCATAGGATCCAACAATTCTACTCCTAAGTTATTCAGCCGAACACTAAAGCTCTGATTCAAAAAGTTGTTTGCACACCTATGTTCATTGCAGCAATGTTTACAACATCCAAGGACAGACAAGTGGCTAAAGATGTGGTATATCTCCACAATGAAGCGCTACTCACTTTTTGACATCTATCATTTGGGGAAACCTGTTGAAGGTGTCATATTTTGTTAAATAACTCAGAAGGAAAAGACATGTATTAGATAATATCACTCATTTGTGGACTAAAAAGAAAGCAAATAGGAAACAGATAATGTCAACAAAAGCAAGCCTGAGGACTGAATGTTTGACTGAGGTTTCCAGGGGTGTTGGAGAGGGCCAGTGACATTGTGGAGAGATACTGGTACTTGGAAACTTAGAAGTCAATGAGAGTTTCCAGAAACTAAGGCAGAGAAGTGAGCAAAATTGTGCTACGTGGACAATAGAAAGGTTAAATCACAATAATTGATTAGTTTAGTAACCTATGCATTTTCTTGATAATTTGATGCTGAAAAAAATAAGCATGTACTGTACTCATGAGGTGGGTGCAGTGGAGAGTTGTCAAGAGTGAGAAAAATGAGAGATAAGAAACAGGAAAACCACCGCAAAGAGATGGATGTTAAGACGTCAGCTGGACCTACAGCAGGCCAGTTAGCTACCCGAAAGATTGAGATAAGGTGGTAAAATCTATGGGGAAAGTGGATTTTTCAGTAACCTATATAGCACACTGCTTTTTAAATAAAATGAGGGACTGGAGCGATAGCACCAGTTTGTCTTGCATGCGGCCAACTGGGGTTCGATTCCCAGCATTCCATATGGTCCCCTGAGCGGCGCCAGAAGTAATTTCTGGGTGCAAAAGCCAGGAGTTACCCCTGTGCATCACCAGGTGTGACCCAAAAAGAAAAAAAAACGAGGCACAAACCACACAAGAATGAAAGCAAAGACAATTAGAAACATCAGGTATAAATAAAACTGTGCCAGAAGATTTGGGCTGCTCTGTTGTATAAGTGAGTTCTATAGGAAGGAAATTTTTGGAGGGCAGGAAAGATAGTCCCAGAAGAAGAATCGCTGCAGAGCCCTCCCAGAATCATCTCCCATGGCATTAAATGTTGAATGTTTTCTGTGTATTGGTAGAATACTTGGAAAGCTAGACACCCTCCCTGAGGGAGGAAACCCACTGTGGAACAAGAGACAGTCAAGAAGCAGTTATTGGTAGAAACCAATGCAAAAAAATTTAATCATACCACACATAACTGTTAATTCAAAATGGATTAGAGATTTTGATATTTTGCCCAGACCCATCAAGTATGTATTTTTATTTCTCTATATTTTATTAAAGAACTGATTTACAAAGCTGTTCACAGCTGAGTTTTAGACGTACACAAAGCATATTTTTTTTAAAAGTCAGCACTATATTATTGACTTAAGAGGTGACACCGATGATTCTACTCCATTGGCAAATAAATCGAAAGGAAAAGTAAACAGTGAGACTACATCCACATGTTTCTACACTGTAAAAAGCCATAGCTAAAATTAAAAGCCTACCTATGAAAGGAAGAGAGCATGTGCACATGACACATCTGACAAGGGATCATAATCTTAGATAAAAGGGTAAAGGGTAAAGGCCCTCCCGTTGATCATCGATTTGCTCGAGCGGGCCCAGTAACGTCTCCACTGGAGACTTTGTTGTTACTGTGTTTGGCATATCGAATACTTCACGGGGAGCTTGCCAGGCTCTGCCGTGCGGGCGAGATACTCTCAGTAGCTTGGTGGGCTTTCCGAGAAGGGCGGAGGAATCGAACTCGGGTCGGCCATGTTGGCTGCATGCGAGGCAAACGCCCTACCGCTGTGCTATCGCTCTAGCCCTATAATCTTAGATAAACAACAAAATAACCCAAATAATCCCATCAAAAAATGTGAATAAAAGCTGAGCAAAAACTTCACCAAAGAAGATACACGGGTAACTAAGAGTCATGAAAAAGTGTTCATCACTGATCATCAGGGAAATTTAAATACATTTCTAATCTCACACTAATGAGAATGGCCTATATCAAAAAGAAAGTAAGAACCATATTCCAGTATTGACCTAATATAACTTGGTAAAAATTCTATAGAAAACTAATTTTTGAGAGTTCCCTAAAAATTAAGAATAGAGCTATCATTAAAGCCAGCAATTCCATCCATGCATATTATTTTACCTACGATCTGAAATAGCTAAGACCTGGAAGTAACTCAATTGTAAAAAAAAAAAAAAAGTGGATAAAGAAATGATGGTATGTATACAAAATGGAATACTACTCAGGTACAAGAGAAAGCAAAATCTTGTAGTCCACGATACATGGAGCAGGTCAAAGGGCCTTGTTATGCAAAATAAGCCAGAAGGAGAAAGACAAATACCATACAGCCCTACTCATATGTGGTATATAAAGCAACGAAGCAAGGGAATAGAAAATGCTCAGTGGGTGGGTGGATGGGTCTCTTTGTACATTAGCAGCATCCACCAGGAAACTACAATCTCCACCAAATGTCAATGTTTCTAGGATTTGATCAATCAGGAAACTAGCCAGGGAGGATACTGCATGGGATGATCAACTGAGATGGGCCAATATTGGCATCAGCACTCAAGAGAGACTCAAAAAAGGGTCAGGGCCAGACCATGATGACAGAGAAGGAAATATCCAGAAGGACACGAAGGGCTAGATGCCTGTACCAATATTTGGGCTCCCCAGGGGCCATCCTCTCCACCTGTCTACTCTTCACTCTACCGTGGTTCTTGGTCTAGCTCTTTCTGACTTCAGGTGGCTGTCCTGGCCCCGAGGGTCACCCACAGTAGCAGGAGTCAACTTAATACCAACCTTCTGAGAGTCCCAATTCCCCTCCAGTAAGACCCTCCTGAGAGGACTGGACTGTTCAACCATCCTCATAACAGGGAGATTCCGAAGTCAATACCTATACACACCAGCAGAGCTATCAAGGATTCCTCAGGGGAACCATGCAAAGAACCTGAACCTACAAATCCCAATAAGCAGAAGTTATGTCATGGGTGGAGCACCATGGCCTGAGATCAATGTTTCCTTTCTCCAAGGGGGTCCTGTCTCAATGCACTGCAGATAAGACCTCTTCTCTGCTGCATCTTGCAGAACCAAAATCAAAATGTCACTTCCATGACATTTTGCAATCAGTCAACACAAGAGCATTTAGGTGGCCTCATCCAATCATATGAGAATTGAGGTTCTCTGAAATCAACCCACAGCAGCAAATCCTCAAAACCTGCCAGTCCCCCTTTCTGAAGTCTGTTCTTTGTTCAGCTAATTCAGTCAACCTATGTAAAGTAAGGAAGATCAACAAGGCCACCAGTAGGTGAAAACAAACTGTAGCACTGTGGCACTGTCCTCCCGTTGTTCATCCATTTGCTCAAGTGGGCACCAGTAACGTCTCCATTGTGAGACTTGTTGTTACTGTTTTGGCATATCAAAAACACCACGGGGAGCTAACCAGGTTCTGTCATGTGGGCAGGATACTTTCAGTAGCCTGCCTGAGGAATCAAACCCAGGTCAGCCGCGTGAAAGGCAAACGCCCTACCGATTGGGCTATCACTCCAGCCCGATAAAAACAAAAGAAAAAAAAATACCAACAAACCTCTATGTCCATCTCCCTTAGTCTGTCCACAACTTAGAACTCACCTGCTACACCTAGATTTCTGTTCTGCAGGTTGAAACCTTGACAACAGGTTTTCTGTTTGTCTTAACAGGGTGTGAACTTTGCTGTTTGACTTGGCAAGTTCTTGCTCCTGTGCCTCCCTGGGACCCCTCAGGATGAGACTTGGTGAATCTGAAGTCTGGTACCCAATACGTAGACATGAAACAGTAAGCACACATTGATTCTAGTTTGGGAATGCTTTCCTCTTCTCTGGGTCAATAAGAGTCCACTGGTGGAGAACAAGGAAGACTTGACTGGTTTCAGACAAATTGGCTGTTGTTTTAAAGTACAAAGGTAGTTCTAAAATCTCTCAGGAGAGTTTTCCTTTATTTTCTTATGAATCCTTACTCTGACACCTAAAACCACAACACTCAGATAAGAGAGAGGAGCAGAGAGTTGCAGAGAAACCAGGTCTCAAGTGAATCTTGAACCATATTGAGCATTGATCAGACCACCTGCAATCCCCTCCCAAGGGTCTGAACTCAGCTCAGCAATGCCTTTCCCTCCCAAGACTTGTTCATTAGATGCCCCCAGGATCAGCATATAATTCTTTTTTCTGCCAAAGTACTCCTTTCAGTCAACTTGATCCCCGTGTTTCTAAAGAAATCCTTTGTTCCCTCAGCCTGAGCAGCAGGACTCTGGGGACCAGGGGACCAGAACACAATGGAGAAGTTCAGATTCTCACACTTACCTCCTCTGCTGCCTCTAAATGCCCCTGGGAGGAATCACCCCCAGCCTGACTCTCCAGCTCACATCCAACTGTCTTCTCAGTTAACTGTGTCTCAGGGACACAGGCTCAATTAGGGGTACCAGGTTGCCCTTGTGAACCCGTCTGAGCAGTACCCTCCCTCTAATGTTTAGGGAACAGAGTGAGGGAGCAGCGGTCAGCCCAACTCAGTTCAAATCTGGGCTCTATTACTGTTCCTGTTTGGCCCTGTGCCCTTTATCTCACTCCCCAGAACTTGATTCTCCTCGTCCATAGTCACCACTGTCCCTTGAGGGAAGTTGTGAGAAGATAAGGGTGAGGGAATGGAGGTGGGGGTTCTCTCTCCCCTACTTACCCCAGAGTACTCTTCTGGCCGTTGGAATTAGGATCCAGGATCTCCAGTACAGCTCGGCTCCTGATCCTGTGGCTGGGTAATGAGTACCCACAGCTCCCAGAAAGGGAAACAGAAAGTAAAACAACTCTTTTTTTTTTTAATTGAATCATCGATGAACACAGCAACAGGACCTTGAAGGCGGAGACAGCGGCTACTAAGACAACTACAGGTACTAGGAGGGAAGAAAGGAGGGAATGCCCTGCCACAGAGGCAGGGTGGTATGAGGGGGATGGGAGGTGGGAGGGATACTAGAATCAGTGGTGGTGGAGAATGGGCACTGATGGAGGGATGGGTATTCAATCACTGTATAACTGAAACCCAAGCACAAAAATTTGTAAGTCTACAACTGTACCTCATGCTGTTTCACTAATAAAGTATTTTTAATTTTAATAAATAAATAAGTCATGGTCCTGTGACCACAGTGTTACACTTTTGCAAAAAAAAAAAGAAAGAAAGAAAGAAAGAAAGAGAGAGAGAGAGAGAGAGAGAGAGAGAGAGGAAGAAAGAAAGAAAGAAAGAAAGAAAGAAAGAAAGAAAGAAAGAAAGAAAGAAAGAAAGCAAGCCAGGGAAAAGGGAAGAGAAGAAACTAGGCTGATGAGGAAGGAGGAGAAATTACTACACTGCACAGGAAAAAAGTAGAACTAACACCTAGGGGAGGAGAGAGAAATAAACTGAGTACCAACCAGCCTGGGGAATGGTTCTCGGCCACTGGCCACCTAACACCCCAGTTCCTCAAGCGGCTTTTATTTTGAATTTTGAAACTCACACCACCTCTGAAGAATTGTCTTGGCATCCAATGCTATCCTGGATGTTTTCTATACACTCCCTGAATATTGAATTACTTTGATGTAATAGTTTCAATCATATAAAATGGAATTTTTGCACTCTGTCTTTTCTAAGAGCATGTTTATAAAATGTGAAGTATTTTGGAAGCATGTCTTCTAATTCTACAAATGAAAAAAATGAGCAGAGGTAATACAAGTCATAGTTTTATGTTACAAGTTATTTTCTTTTTCTTCTTTAATGCAGATAGATTATGTAAGAATTAAAAAGGGGCAGAAATGTCATGTCAATTCAGAGATAGAAGAAAAACTTTATTCCGTACTTGGTGTATAAGCTGGAGCGATAGCACAGCGGGTAGAGTGTTTGCCTTGCACGCAGCCGGTCCGGGTTCAATTCCTCCACCCCTCTCACTGAGCCCAGCAAGCTACCAAGAGTATCTCGCCTGTAGGGCCAGGCAAAGCCTGCAAGCTACTTGTGATGTATTCGATATGCCAAACACAGTAACAACAAATCTCACGATGGAGACGTTATTGGGCCCGCTTGAACAAATTGATGAACAACGGGAGGACAGTGTTACAGTGAATCACCATGAGATACAGTTACAAAGTTTTCATATTTGAGTTCCCATCGTACAATGATCAAACACCCATCCGTCCACTAGTGCACATTCTCCACCACCAATATCACCAGTTCCCACTCCCAAATCGTCCCTTCCCCTGCCTCTATGGCAAATAATCTCCCCCATACTCTCTTTCTACTTTGGGGCATTATGGTTTGCAATACAGATACTGAGAGACTATCACGTTTGAGCTTTTATCTACTTTCAGCACACATCTCCCATTCCAAACGATCCCTCCAACCAACATGACTTAGTGATTCCTTCTCTATCCCAGCTGCCTTTCCCCCCAGTTCATGAGGCAGGCTTCCAACTATGGAGCAACTGGTGAAGATAAATCGACCACACCAGGTCCAATGTCCAGGGCACAACCTCTCAGTCTCTCCTCCTTTCTCACCCTGTTAAAAGAGTTTTTCCAGACCTTACATTTCAAATTCCTCTCTGCTCAGCCAAACTGCCCGTGAGGCAGGGAAACATCCATTCAACTGGTTTTCATAGCAGAGAATCAAGTAAATGAACAAAAAGAAAACATGGAAGGACTGAGCAATGGACTCTTATGGAGAGGAAGGAAGTCAAACACGTAAGCCATCCTGGCTTCCATATTGATTGGCTGTCATGGCTTCATGGTGTAGAGACCATCCCAACTAGGAACAAGATGAGAGATGCTGATAGAAGAGAACAGTTTCCTGGGAAACAAACCCATTATTTCCAGGGGTGTGAGTTCACAGAATAAAACATGGGTTCTCCTGCTGCAACACATGTGGGTTCGTTCAGTGGCCCAGAGCTGCCTCCTCACCTCCCCAGGCCTCCCCAACAGAGAGACAGATGTGAGGGACAGGCCCCAAATGGACCACCACCAGAATTAATTTAGTTTAGCTTAATAGGAACCTGCATTGCAAAATAACTGGTTTTTCAAGGAACAGGTCTAGATAAGCTTTTTCAGATCCGCTTTATAGGAGCCTGCACTGCAAAATAACTGGTTTTTCTGCCCCTGAGCAAGGAATTCAGATACAGGTATCCGAAGGGTGGGGGTCAGACCAGATAACCGGATGTCTCTCACAAGACCCATGTTGCTAGACCCAGGACTGTCCTAAAAACCAGGACGTTCCTAAGCACTGACGCAAATGCTGACCTTCAAACTATAGGCTTAGAAATGATGTACCCTTAATTGGATTGGTTAGAAAAGTATCTGTTATTACAAATCTATTGGCTATGAAATGCACGGGCTCTGCTGTAATGGTTGGTGAAGGCCTATATAAGATCTTCTTTGAAGAAGTTCGGGGTCTTTTACCCAACCTGCCAGACCTGGGTGTCTGTGTAGGCGGTGGGACCCTGGCTAGCCAGTCTTGCAATAAACCCTGCTTGGTGCTTACAGTCTCTTGAGGTTCTTTGTCGTTAAAGGGAGATTTAGATCTGCGCCCTAACACAGAGAGACAGAGAGATGGGGAACAACAGTCTGATGGTGAAAATGGCCAGTTTAATACAGAGCTGCTAACATACCTAAGAACATCTGAGTGGGCTTCAGGTCAGGACAGAGGTGTGATTGATCAGTTACATGGGTAAGACATCTGGAAGTTTGCACAGATTATTTGCATAAATAAAAGATAGGAAATTCTCTTTTGGGATTTTAACTCAAGGAGACACTCTGTCTCCGAGGGACATCTACATTGCTTTCATCTTTCCCTCTAGTTGTATATGTTATCAATACTTGTAGGTGTTTGCATAAACACAGGAAGAAAAAAGGAACTCAAAACTTAGTTCCCTGAGCTCTGAGAGCAAGCAAGGCTTTTACAGTAAATCCCAGACTAAGTCCTCAGGCCAGTTCAGCTTGGCATTCCTCATAGGGGCCCTATCTCTTAAGTCATAACACCTTCGATCAAGATCATGCACTTATGCTTTCTAGAATGTCCCATTTCGATGCCTGGGTAGCTTTGTCTCTCGCCCCAATTCCATCCCAATCCCATGGCAGGACCTCCCTTTTTTTTGGAGTGTGAGGAACTATAGCAACTGAAGCCTGAGTCAAGTAATTATGGCCAAGTAATTAAGGTCAGGAGTAGATATATTTCAGATTCAATCAACTCCCAAATATTACGAACATAACATTACTAGTCTTTCTGTGTTTAACCAAAGAACATTGCACTGTAGTAAAATATAAAAAGGCTATCGGGGAAACAGACCAGCAGGTACCAATACACAGCACTTCAAATATAAAGCAGTACAAATACAAAGCTCAGAATTATCAGAAAGTTAGGTCAGCTCCCATTCAGTATGGTGATGATGACATAGAGGTTCAGATCAGGATCTGTTCAAGGCCAAATTTCTGCTGAATTGAGCAAGAAGATTCCATGTGGTTTATGGGGGATTTGAAGATATTGGAATTGCAGGTAGGCGACAGCAGACATGGATGCCAATGTGTGTGTGTGTGTGTGTGTGTGTGTGTGTGTGTGTGTGTGTTGGGACACAACGTAAGTGAGTTTCCCCATCTATTCACACAAGAGGAGTTCTTACTTCACAGGAGAAAGTGAGAGGGGGAAAAAGGGTCACTCAGTCTACATGCACATTGAAAGCTCAGAATTTGAACCAGAGAAGAAAGGTCATCAGTCACTAATAAAAACAATTATATAAAAAATAAAGTCACCCATCTCTTCGACAGTACAGTGAAGTCTCCTTATTTCAGAATCCCTGAAATGTCCACCTTAAAGATCCCAGGATATATGCGGGGATTTGTTATTCTCATTATGTTTTAAAAGGTTTAAAACATTATCGCTGTGGGTATGGTGCCACCAGCAGGTCAATCTGTACCTGTGAGGCGAGAGCATCAGCAGCCTGATGGCACCGTCAGACTTTCAGATATCCCCAAATTGCTGCTGTGCCTTTGGCCAGACCCCAAAAGCTTGGGGCAGTTTACCAAGAAAGTAAACGGCCAAAAGGTAGGTATGTGGGAAACACACCCACAAACCACCTCCGGCTCAGCTATATGATTGGAGGCATGGCCTCTCTGGTTCCTGATCAAACTGCTTGAAGGTTGCGATCCCAGAGACTCAGAAACGAATCTCAGAACCGGGGGACTTTTGGCAGAAATGCATCCTGTTCCTGCAGTGGGTTGCTGGGCCACTCCAGGTGGGGGTAGGTTTTGTGCCTTGGCGTGTTCCCCCTGGTGGCCTGGTGGCTGCCATCCTCCAGAGGTCACCGGACAGTCAGGTTTGGACCTGCAATGACGAGACACCGGGGCCTCATGGGATGGAGGTGGAGCCAGCCCCTTCTTCCCCATCCCAACAAGACCCCGAGTCACCACCAATGGGTGGTCTCTTTGGCTCCTGATCAGGCTGATTGATGGCCATGATCCCAGAGACTCAGAAACAAATCTCAAAACCCAGCGGCTTTTGGCAGAAATGCATCTGGATCACATACAAGGTGGCCACCACCTCAGAGCTTATAGGAACACAAGGTATGAGCCGACAGTGATGGGGCAACTGCAGTCTCATGGGAAGTGGGGCAGTACCGGCTTGTTCTTCATGCCCTACCAAGGTCACGAGTTGCCCCCCACGAGTGGCTCTCCAGCACAGCCATAACACCAGACGCACAGAAACTAATCTTGTAATTATCTGGCTCTTTGCAGAAATCCAAAATCATTACATGATTCTCATAACCAGCTATAGAAAACA